GGGTGGAGGCCATCGCTCTTGGGTTGGTTTCACCTCCTCCTCCAAATCCTTCTCCTTTTGGCCACATGAACCGTCCACGCTGGTCCGCGTCCGAGGCCTGAACGTGCCGGAGATCGACGTGCGGAACAAGGATCGCCAGGGCGGCTGGACGTCCGGCTGGACGTCCGGTGCTGGGGCCTGCAGGGCCCTTCAGTATCTCGTGGAACCCAAAGTGTTCAACTGACGTGCCACATGTTCTACATATATCATCATATATCTCCTTACCCAGACGCGACCCTGGACCCTCATATGGAGGGTCGAACCCTCATTGGAGGGGTCGGACCCTCATATGGAGGGGGTTTGGGGTCTCAAATCCCTAGGTTTTGAGGACCAAGGGCTGTTTGGAGCGTCTCGGTAGTTTTCAAGCAGAGGCTGGCAGTCAGCTTTCGCTCTGGCAGGTCGAGCTGAAAATTGACGAAGGCCCCGATGCCTATGTGACAGACAGCAGCTCCGGACGGCACCTGGGTGTAAGAGATTTTGGCAGGCTAATGGTCCCTATGGTGGATCCCTTCCATTCCTTTGGACCCTTGGCAGGGGTCCAGACCCGGTCCAGACCCTTCCCGTTTGAGGGCCCAGATTCTTAGGGGATTGAATTGATTGAATGGTTCGAATCCGCAACAACCATGAACAAGCATGGTACTAAGTACATCTAAGTACAATAATGACGACAAAACCAGGCTCGAGCAATTTGAATGGTCGAAAGGCCAATTTAGTTATTGCATCGATTTTAATAGGGGGTATGATCTGGAGAAGGGTGGTCGATTCTTCAATTTGTCGTTCGGGTCTCCCAAAGCTTCTTCGTCCGAGATGCACTCGTAACACCGAAGATCAGGACCACCCAAATGTAGCCTCTTGATTTTTAACCTCCCTTTTGAATTGAACCTCTTCGTAACATGGGGGGGTTTATTAATCAAGAGTCCACCATACGATTTCCACCGTGCATTTGGAAGATTTTGGTGGATGTTTGTGCTACTCGTCGATCAGAACTGCTACCGCTACCAACATCGGTTCGGATCAGAAAATCGAGCTACCACGGAGTCTTGGCATGGCAAGGATCTTCAGATGGTGATCATTTTGACATCATTTTCCACTCCTTCCTATCACATTTTCAACCTGTCTATCAAATTTGGGATCGCAATGGGATCGCACTAATTCCTACCTCTGAATTGAAAGCCTAAAGGACGGACTTGAGTATGCCCTTTCTGGGGGATCACGATTTAGAAGACTGCATGTGATGAGAATTTGTGTTCGTTGGAACGGCATACTCAGGTAACACCTTGGCAAAGTTGCCACCTGTCATTCAACCAAGACTAATTACTAAGAACCTTTGACAGCTTAGAACTGTGCCTTCCTCCAATCCAGGAGCCACTGGTCGTTTTGCAGCTCTCATTCTTCCGGAGTCTGGACGCTTTGATTCCCTGAAACCCAACCGATTGCGGTCGCTTTCTTGGGCCGTCTCCCGGACAGGCACAGGGGTCCGGAGAAACGATGAGAAATGCAACCGGATGCCGTTCGCTCGAATCGGATGCTGTTCGTTCTGAGGATTATGGTCTCCACTTGCTACCACGCCAAGCTCCAGCTCCGTTTGCGCTTGAGGATCTGCGGATCGCTTTTTGAATCAAACGACGTGAGTAATTAGATTTCTTTTTTTGGGTATAATTCCACTTGCGCATTTGACTCGCTTGCCATTAAGGGTTATGACTATAATAACTGCAAATCCCTGGGTGGCATCCCCTTCTGACGCTTAGCAAGCTGGATTTTTATTAATTTGCTTTTAAACCGTTTTTTTTTCCGGATTCTTTGGCTGGACCTGGGTCGCGGGGGGATGAGCGAGCTGGGCCGCAGTTTGGGGCTACGGACCCGGCGATAGTTCTTGGACCTGGCAATAGATTCAATAGATGAATTTCTGTAGATTTCTATAGATCATGAGCTCATATATCAGCTTGTTCCTTCAATATTGTTAAGCCCTCAAGTTTGCTCTGCCACAAATAAATGGCCCAGGCAGCTCCTATCCATCCAAAACGGAGATCGCAGCTTGCCCATGCGATGGGGTCGCCGTAGCAGGAACTTCCCCTTCGACGAGCAGAGCTTGCCCATTGACTTTGTGATGCCTTCGGAGAAGGTGCTGGGCGCCGGGCGTCGAAAGGAAGGGTTTTTAACTCGAGTGGGTCGTTTTTTACGTGTGAGAGAGAGCTTTCTGAGGAGATTTGATTCATGCAATTCCTGCAGAGAAACTCTGGACAGTGTGGTGATTGGAGCTGGAGTTGTGGTGATTTCTAGGTTGATCTGCTAGGACCAGCAGCGGGCCTTTGTCTTCCGTCAATGCGATCTGGCACCCCTGGCCTATCACTTGGACGAGTGGACGGTGCAGGCGGTTCCGAACCTTCGGGCGACGGGAAAGCGGAGCCTCGAAATCAGTCGGGCTGTGAGTGGTGTCCAAGCTGCAGCTCTTCTTCAGGATTCGACGGATTGTCTGTGAATCATTCGTTAGGCCACTTCACCTTCCTGGTTCGCTATATATTCGGCCCAGAAACTGAAAGTGCAAACATGTGCGACCGAACTACACCAGGAAGGTTTTTTGGATCATGTTTGTTGCACTGAGTTTCCACTGAACACCCACCAAGAAGACCTGGTGAAACACCGGTCAACTGTGAACTCACCGCTCAGGCCACCAATCTGAAGCAAACTCAGTTTGAGCTCAGCAATCTGAGCTTATCAAAGCCACCAGTCGCTTTTTTTCAGCGCAGCGACGACTGGCGAACAATGAAGAAGAACCACCTCCATGCGTCTCCAACCTTCCAGTCCAACCGCATTCGACTCACAGCGAAGTCCGTTTGCAGGGCACCCACCACAAAGTGGGCTTCCACGAGGGGATGAGCCAGGCGGCCATGTACGTGAAGGCGCGGTGGTCGGCGGAACCCGAGCGCGGTTGGTTTTGTTTTGCGCGATCTTTGTGGAGGTTTGTTTTGTTGCGGCTGCGAGCTTAGGAGGTCTTTTTGCGCATGAGACAGATTGGTGGAATTCAGGGGGCTAGCGCCTGCGGCCGAGCAGCGAGAGGGGTCGGGGTTTGGCGAGCGTTCGGTTGGTTCGGCACGAGACCTCAGCATCCAAGGAATGCTTTTGTTGGCTAAGATGAGGTCAACAAACGCATAGGGTCTGTACTAGCACACAGGGTCTTCGTCAGTCTTTGGCGTGCTAGGTGAAGCCAAGGTACCCCGCGCCTGGCGGCACACGCGCGGTCGGTACCATGCAGGTTTCCGCCTCTTAGGCACCTTTGACCCCGCAGCAACATGCCCCCGGCCTCAATCCACAGGGCTCGGGCCCAAATCCTGGGCAACGCCTTTCCGACGGAAAAAATCTTGACGGTCACCCACGAACTAGAATTTAAAACTTTTAAACATTTGTCAATTTTGTGGCGGATTTTTGGAGTGACATCGCCCACCGCTCACCAGAGTTCCTCAACAGGAACACGCCGGCCCCGCTTCGCTCAGTCTCACGCTCATCAGCCTAGATCGGAGTCGGCGGATTTAGGAGGATTGAGGAATGAAGGACGACGATTTGAAGGCGGAGTAAATAAAGACTACGTTTTTTCATTTAGGAAACATTTTTGCGCGTAGAAGAACCTCTCCTGGGCATCGAGCAAGAAGGACCCTTTGCAGATCGCTACGAAAGCAGGAGGGAGGGGTTGGATGGGGATGGGTGGCTGGGAGGAAAATGGTACGTAGCGCATGAGTTTTTCAAGCGCACATCTTACCAAAAGAATTGGAGAACAGGCATCTTTGGTGGGATCACCTGGCTCAAATGGATTTGCTAAGTTCATGAGGAGAAGCTCCTGGAGTCTACGCCGTATACGGTTTCGGATGTCCGAAGCGCCGGGGCACGTGCCGCTAGACAGTATACTGACATGATTGGTGTGAGTTCTGGTCACTTACAGGCTTTGTCGCACTTTGTTTGAGTCCCATGAAGCCGATGTTGGGAACGGTTCCCTTGGTGCTGTGATTTGGGAATTGTATGTGGAAGTGGGAAAGGACCCCTAAGTTGAACAGAATTCAGAATCATATATTAACTTATCAGAATCCCCGTCACCAGCTGCACTATGAAACGGGTGACGGGTGACCTCCAGGCCCTTATAAAAAACTCTCTTGTAGTAAAACTGGCTTGGGGGCATGTCGGAGCATGTTGTAGAGACCCATTTTGTAGTCAAAATGGCAGATTTTGAGGTTTGGAATGCATTTTGTAGGACAGTTTTTGAACTCAAGTAGAGGTACGCACCCCATCCTGCAGTAAAATCCAGTGGTTTTGACATGTTTCAAATGCTGTGGTCTGGACCCCATTGTGTGAGGGGAACATGATAGTTTTTGATAGCAGGCATTTTGGGTTCAAGAACTTCTATCTAGCCTGTTGACTTTGACAGAGCAGACAGAGCACTACAAGTCATTTTCACTACATAATGTCTGGAAACACAACTCTTTACAAACTGGCATGGACAATGGTGGATCCCTGGACGTCTTACTTTTTTTGCCCAGACCTTGCTTCCTTTTCGGTCATCTCCTTGTTGGAACCTTGCCCAAGCACAGCACAGCAACCAAAGATCCAGGAAGGCAAACAAAGACAACAATTTACAAACTTCTGGCGGCCACCACCCTCAGATGAACCAAAAAGTGGTTCAATGGAAACATGTTAAAAGCAGGAAATGAAAACTTTTCGGGATCAAAATCTTACAAGTGTTTATCATGACTTGTGCTGAGGTATGGGCCGGTCTTTCGTGCTGGGCATTTGTACAGACCCCGAAGCCCGCGTAATTACACACATCCAGTAAAGTCGAGAATGCGCGTTTCACAACTACGAAATGGGGCGACGTGACCACACTATGAAATGCACACTGGGATAGGTTCATTTTCAAGAAATTTGATGTGGTGTTTCGCGACTATATAGACAAACAATGACAAACACAGTCTGTAAAAAAATTGGACGCCAATAGTCTTTGTTGCCATTCACCAGAGTGTAGCCAGATTGGCTTAAAGGATGTCAAAGGAATGAGTTTGCTGCCCTCAAAAAAAAATGGGGGAAACAGCAACATGGCCATAACAGGACGTGTTCAGTGTTCTGGCTTTTATCCTCGGAGCTTTGCCATGAGGGTCCAACGCCAAGGAGTTGTATGATGTACATATGTTGTATGGCTGTCTACTACAGCACCGCACCAATTTACCGCTCCAACCATGTTCTAACCTTGCATCAGGCCCAGTCCCAGTCTCGGCTTCCACGGTTGCCCCAGATGACCGGTGTCACGGACACGGACCATCGAACCAGAAACTGGGCAGCGCATGTGACTCCAATCACTTCGGAAACGCCCATGGTTTTCGTGCGCCAACCGAAAGCCCGGCCCCCCTGGGGCCCCTGGGGTAGCTGTGTTCTAGTCCAAACCTTGCGGCCTGACCTGGGCGCGTAGTAGCTGCACGCCACCGTGCGTGCTGGACGCAACGCGCGGTCTTCGCGGTCCGAGCCCCGCGGTCCAGGTGAAGCGGAACTCGAAGTACTACGTGGTCTCCGTCCTGGGCGTCATGCTGGGCATCTCCTCCTTGGTCTTCACGGTTCGCGTGGCAGAGACAGACCGTTTTCGGGCGTGCCACTTCTGGGTGAGCGAGTTGAAGTGAATGACGACGGGTAGTTGATCACATACATCATGATGAATCTATACAAAGCAAAGATTTGGGAGAAGGTCACCAGTGACTGCGTTGGTCCCAAAAGTACTTCAATCCGGGAAGCGCACGTCAGTTTGGAAAATTCACTCTTGGCCTGTTCAGGTGACGGATCTTTCAAAGTGTTAAAGGTTCTTGAAGCTCTTGGTAGTTGGATTCTAAGCACCACCATCGTTATCCTGGGAAAAGAGGACCTCCGATGAGTCCCACGTTGCCACCGCCACCCGGGGATCCTCCCCAGCGTTCCCACCACGGATGACCGATTAGAGGATTGCACATGGTAATGGAGTGAACCAACATTGGGATTGTTTTTCTTGCGGATTGTGGTTCGGGCATAGCAGGTTTGGAACAGTGTAGGTATTTGAAAGCCAAGAAATTTCGCTTGTGCAGAGTTCAAGAGCCCAAACCTGCAGGGTGAACATGATTGTTTTCAATGGGAGGTGGACAAAGCACAAACGGAGTCTTGTTTGGTTCTGGGAGAAAACACTTCTTCCAAGAATGACAGAACAGAATGCTTGACATGGTTGATTAAAGAATGCTTGACATGTTTTTGCGGTCTAAATCCTTTGTAAAAACACAAGTGTTTGGCTCAGAAAACCATTGGATCGCCATGGTTTCCAAGGTCTTTTCGATCGAGGTGGACCCCTCAGGGAAGGGCTTTGATGATCAAGGCGCGCCATGGTCAGGCGTTCCGACCCCTGGGTTCGGTTCGGGAAATAGACCAGTCTGCCTAGCCAGGGGCGATTGGGGTTCTCCCTATTAAGATACAGCAAAACACACCCCATAAGTTTGATGACCGCAACTGACTGCACCTCCTTTTTCCTCGAAATTCTAGCATTGGGAAAAAAACAACTGCAGACTTCTTTTTTAGTTAGATACAGCCAGACACTTAGAACACTCATCGTGTTCCAGACAGTGACAGAGCTATATAAGCACAAAAGACAATTTTCAATGACACTGCATGCAAAGCATTCACTAATCCTGTTCTCAAAAGTGCGCCAGCCACTTGCTGCATGGGCATTTTTGGGTCGAACTCACGCCACGCCATGCTACTGGGCCGTTCCTCCCCATTTGGATTTGTTTTAGATTCCCATGTCACGTCTCGCAAAGAAGTCAATTCCTGGAATGATCTGCAGATATCTGCATCCAAGTTCTCCAAATCATTCTCCATGTCTCCATTTTTCTCTGCTTTCTTCGGGGGCTCGGCTCTTTTCCCCACATGTGCGACTCTGACTTCCTCACCGGGTCGAAGAGGACCGGTCGGACTCGAACGTGAGTAGCGGTGTCGCCAGGTAAAATCTTGATTCCCTTATTGATGACCTTGCTGGCCTTCAAGCTCTTGACCGCCTCAGGCTGAAACGGTTTTTAACGGTTCGGAAGGGTTGATCACATAGCAGAAAGTTAGTACATCATAGTACATATGGTTCTTCTATCCTAGTTCTGCAGTAGGTAGAGTATGTTTTCAAGTCTTAGCTACCCCAAAAAAGTTACTTTAGTGGAAGTTCATGAACATCTTTGGGACTTGAGCTTTAGGCTTGAGATGTTGCAAGCTCTTGAACCTACCTATACTTGCTCACCATTCTCTTCGTCAGGGCATCCCCTCCAACAGTCAGGGATCCTTCGGAATGAGCGATGAACTGACAGTGCAGCCCTCTTTTTGAGGACCCCCGAGTCAACGTCGTATATGGGCAGAGTTGGCTTTCGTTCACCCACCATCCTACGATTCCCCGATCCTCAGTGGAAATAGGGATGAGGGTGGTCCGTCCGACGTGTTGGCAGAGTTGGTCCGACTTGGTCCGTTTCACGTGGCGCCTCCGCTGATGGGTCCGTGCGACGTGCGACCCACTTCGGACAACGAGGGTTCCTGGCTGGCGAAGGGAGGGGCCGTTCCCTTGCAATGAACGGGGTCCAGCTATCCCTTTAAGTGATGAAACACGATATCTGAAGGATTCCGAATTGTTTGCAAGAACTGCCTAGGATGCATCCAAGTATCGATTTCTGCCTGGGAACGTCCATATCGAATTGTTGTCTGCAACATTTGCAACACCCTTCGTGCTCTCTGGTTGAAAGAAGAACTGGCAGTACGGGTCAGGCTGTCTCACCTGGTTGATAGTTACTTGATGTTACTTGTTAGACGAAGCTACAACCAGGGTCCACTCGGCTTGTCAAGGGGTTGGTTTGGGCTGTCATAGTGTGTACCGCAATAACAGGGGAGCCTGTAACAGGGCCCAGGAGCGCGCAGTCCTAGCGCTTGGCTCAAGCTTGCTTGGGTTGTCAGCCAGGTTCTTTCTCTTCTCTTCCTGCTTCGTTGCCAGGAAAGATCCCCAAGGTCGCCAAGGCCACGATCTTTGATCGTTACGTGGCTTGGTCGCGACCACTCCGTCGACCACGGCGCTGAGCTTGCAGAGTTAGTCAACATATATCAACGTGGACCGGTCATAGGAGTGTTGGGAATATTTTGGAATGGTGGGTTCATGAATGTGTATCCCAGCCACCATGTGGGTAAACCCGAAACGATGAAGATGATGAAGTCAGTTGAGTTTATAGGGGCGGGTCCACCCGCGCCTTAGGTCTTGGCATCGGAGACGTGTTTCTTTGTGACGGTGATGTCCTGCTCTGCGATGCGCGCCATCATGGCCAAGCCGGAAATGGCACAGTGGAACGGCACCTCGGAGAGAGATGGAGAGAGGAGAGGGGCAGAGAAGAGGGGGAGAGGCGGGGAGAGGGTAGAGGGTAGGTCAGATCTTTGAAGTGCTGTTGGCTAAGACTTGGCCTCATCATTGGGAGGGAACCGCTCTCGGGTTCTTCTTTGCTAGGATACTGAGCAGCAAGTTGGAATTGAAAGCCCAGCTTTTGATTTAATTGTTACAAGATAACATTATCAGAACGGTTTGGTTCAACATCAGAACGGTCGTTTAGTTGATGTGTCGTCTCCCAAACCAACGATGCTTGTGAACATGTTTGGTCCAAATATGCAGGGGCTTTGTCGGTTTTGTCGGGTTTGAGAGCTTTCTAATCGAGCCGCGTCGGCAATCCCCACTGCCGTGGATTCCGAGGCAGTTGACCGATGGCTGTTCCATGCTGTTCTCAAGCATCGAATGCACTGAAATGACGTATACATTTAGCCGTGGTAGAATCCATCCGCTGCAAGAACATGTGCACTGCCCTCCTTTGGCAGATTTTCCAGATTTTCTCTTTCCCTCTTTTTCCTTTGGCAGTAGGCAGCACAGAACAGCACCCGAAACCTGCCAGGTCTCTGTCTGCAGCTTCCAGAAGAGAGATGTAGAGTTGGGTGCCGGCAGATGGTCCTAAAACACCCGATTGAACCGCCACCAAAACGGTCCTCCTTCACCCGATCGACCTGGGTGCGGTCGACCTGATTCCGCCCGCCAGTCCACTGGAACCGACCACGTGACTTCGGCCTCCCATCATCCCCCCCTTCCGCGCGCCGACGCACGGCGCGGGTTCACGCGGTTCCAACGAACCCCGCCCCCAGGTGCACTGCGGCTCAGCTTCGGACTGGCTGCTCGGTGGACCAACGATCGGTTGGCTTCAGCTCGGAAGTCAACGCAGCGCTGGGCGCAGGGCGGCCGGGTTCTGGTGGATAGAATTTTTTTTGGGGGGTTTGCCCTAATTGAGAAACCGGGCCCGAACCAAGGAAAACAAGGGTTTGGTTCAGGTTTTGACCGCCAAGGTGGAGGGTGACCCGATCCCCAAGAGGTCGAAAGCCACTCGGAAGGGGTGGCCCAAACGGCGCTGCACTGCTCTGCTGCACTGCTTCAGGTGCTGATGGCCGCCTGGCTGGTCTTCAACTCGCTGATGATTTGTGAGGCTCTCCGAGTCTGAGCAACTGGATTTTCTCCGGCATTCTTGACGGGAAGTTGATCGAAGACTTGCAGATTCTGATGTCAGTGAATTAGAAGAGGGAGAATACATGAGAACCACAAGCAGTCAACCCAAAAATCTACTCTAACCGAAGGCGGGGGTCTCCCCATTTCCAAACAATGTGAGACACTGGTAGAACCATGTGGACACTCGTAGCACCGTGATCGCATGCAAGTTGCTTGGAGTTCGTGTGATGCGGAGCACGTGTGATGTCCAGCTGACGGTCAGAGCAGGCCACGCAACTTCACACTGTAAACCAGTGAGCCTCTGCGCATTGTGGAGAACCGGCGAGAGTTCTTTTCCACCATGCGATCTCTTCCGCAAACTAACCCTACCGAATTCATCCGCCACGCCACGAGCGCCTCTGTCCGCAGCTCTGTCTGCGATCGCCCTGTCGCAGCAGATGGACAGGTGCGAAGGGAGAAGAAGTATGATGAGGAGGTTGAGATGTCCCGCAACTCCGTTCATATGCCAGGAGCGGGTGATGGGGACGTTGGCAGACGTGCGTCATGTGCCACAGATCTGGCACCCAGATTCCATCCATGTGCCCAGTTGGAGGATCTCACTGGATGATGGAGGCGTACCCTCAAGGTTTCCAGGTCCACTTTGACATGTGCCGAGCTGAGTTCTGTGAAACTGACTTGGTGTCTTGCCCCACAAAGGGTCCAACTGCCTTTCGGGATTTGAATGGTCTGAAGTCCAAACAACCATTCCATTGATTTTTGGATGTAAGGCTAAGGATTTGACACTCCAAAACCAGGTTGTCGACGCTTTGAACTTCTTCGGAAAACCGGACGGATCGAACGACACCGGCTCTGTCAGGGTTGGCTTCGGCATTCGACACGGCTATGTCATGTCCGGAGTGTTTGGGCTCCGACGAAACAACCCATCCCGTACGTTGGAGAAGGCCTTCACCTGATCTCCGATCCTTCGATCCGTCAAAACAGGGGATGTTTAGACTCTGTGTGCGTCGTATCCCGGCCTTCCTTTCTGCGACGCTACCTGTAGGATTCGACGAGGCCGTAGCGAAGATCATGGAGAAACCATTGCGATCGGCGAACACACTGAAA